ACGAGCTGACTCCTGGCAAATGTTCGCCTTCGAACAGTCTGGATTGAATTATCTTTTGTAAATTGCACCGAAAATAGATGCAAGAATTCTTGGGAAAGCCTTTGAATTTATGCACCTGTTTCGAGGCTCAAACTATCAACGATCAATGTACTGATCCGAGACTACTGCGGCGTGCTTTCAAGTGCTCAAATTCACTGCACAGGCGCTCGGGATTCCGGATTTTTAGTGCACGTTCGCTTGAGCATCGAAAACGTGTTTTGAAAGCAAAGCAACAGTCTGTTGTTGAAAGGATTCGAGATGGTATGGAGTTTGTTCGCGGTGGGATATCATTAAGGAACAAAGGGGAGGAAACGAGATTCAAACTAAATATTCCTCTGTCATCTTACAAGGCCATTAAAGGCATTCAATTAGCAACTATTGACGGTCTTCCTTTGAAAGGAAATTCGTTTATTCGGTGAAAAAGAGATATATCTCCAGGAAACGGTTTCCGCGCGATTTCGTTAATTGTTGAGGGCGAATGAATGACTGCGTCATTGCATATGTCCCACACTATTCAGTGTAATAATTTAAAATAGGCGATCAACACATTTGACAAACACTCCAAGGGTTACCATGCAGATTTTTAAAAGCATAAAATATGGTTTCCTCCCCCCAAATAGTTTTGAAAGATTTAGATGTTGTTTTAAAATTTTTCCGCGCTCAAGTCGAGGCATAAACGCCTTCATAAAAGATGATGATTTTGTTCTGAAACAGCGCATGAGCGGAGCAACTTGAGTCGCCTTTGTACGAATAACATCGCTGTAGCCGGGCAATCAGAGATTACCGAAGGGAATTTGACTCGATCAAATAACAATGGAAAAACGTATGTTGAATAATTTACACAGAACAAAGAATAGCCCCACTTCAAGAAAAACAAGTTGACAGTTCGTTTTTCAGGACATTATTTGAAGTTTGGCCATAAAAGTTTTTGCGGCGGATAGAAGACAATGCAAACACCTCGCTGTTTTTCTAAAAAAATAACGATGAACAAGTGAATTTCAAAGTTGATTTGCGACCTCGTTTTTTGTTCCTTCTTAATTTCTTTTTCTCAGACAGTATCAAGTGCATCATGTAAATTGGTAGTTATCAGTTATCGAATAAGAAATATTTACATCCTAACTTTCAAGTCAGCAGGAAATGGATTGTGAAGAAGCTCTTTGCCCGCCCAGAAAAAAAAAATTAATTTCAAGAAGCAGGCTGCGATAAGAAAACAAGAAATTAAAAAGAATGAAATAACGAAGGGTATACGGAAATATGCGAGCCATGGCGAACAGTTTTTGAACAAGCGCTGTCTCGAAACACTTGCGATAAGTGCTTCAAAGAAAAACAGCCTCCCAACAGCAGTTATTTTTGTTCAAAAGCCAAGTTAAACGACATAAACAGAAGGCTTTTGAAATAGGGGTTTAATGAAAGCTTACACCGCATGGCGCGGACTTAGCGAACAAAGATGAACGTGTGTTTCCTTGGTAACTTTGTTCATAATAAACGTGAATGGCTCAACTTAGGACGCGGCGGCATTTGAGCTGTTGCAAATTAGTTGAGTTAAAAAAGAAATTAAGAAAACCATTTGTTACCCTCCTAAAGACAAATTGGGTAAAGTTTTTCCCTGATTAATGGTAGAGAGACAGCGAGGCGTAGATGTTACGATCAATAGAGTGCGCTAGAGACGATAATTGTTGCTAAATGAAACTAAATTGAGGTGACACGGAAAAAACTGATGCTTTTGTGTTGTTTGGCCAAGTCGCTAAAATAAGACATGATCTCTTGAGCTCAAAGCAAGAAAACAAAGTAACACGCTTAGTTTTTGTAACGCAAAACTAGCCCGTCAAACAGTATCAAAGCCTCGGGCTGTTTTCTAGCATTTCCGTATCAAACTATGAGGTTAGCGAGGAAGTTCTGTTTTCCATGTTTTTCATGCGGCAATTCATATAGAAATTGAATAAATATTCAAAGGCATGTGACCGAAATCTGAAAAAAGGAAAAAACTCCCTGGTAACAGGCTACATGGACAATCAGCTGTACCAACATAAATTCATTTACTTGCGTCAGTCGCAAAAAGCGCATAGCAGAATCCAAAGTGTCTGTTTTCTTTTCAATTTTAATTTCCAACTGAACGAGAACGTGAAGTGTTAAATGAGTACCCCGCAAATTCTAAATTAGCCGAGTGGGATTGCTCCCGCAATTAATTTTTTTGAGCCGCGAACGATTGCCATCGAGTAATGGGAGGCTTGTTGAGTAAAAATCGCAAATTGTTAACTCATTTCTGCGCAGTCTTGGCGTTAAATGCTGTCATATAAGAGCTCTATTATAAAATAATTCCAGCTGACCTAACATATAGGTATACAACAGGGCGTCCATGGAGCGTGGTCGATAAATAAAATGCAAAAACATTTCTATTTTGCCACTGTTAATGAAAACTGTAGCTGATATAAATATAGGTATTTCTTGCGAAGTTCGACTGCTCGCTTAAACTGTGCTGAAAAAATGCCTCGCACTCTGGCCTCGTGAAGAGTCAGCATTTCGCTGCACCTGCAGCAAATATGATATAAGTTTATAGTTCCGTTCAGTTAGAACGCGAATTTCTATTTCTGTAGTTACTGAACTAATCCCTTTTTGGTCGTAATCTAAGGCAAATGAGAAACGCAAAGTTTGTGTGGGATATTTCACTTTGTTCTGCATCGCGGGAAACTTTTTTAGCGAATTAAATTAACATATCTCACTCTATTGTCAACATCCTTTCGACAGGCTGAAATAAAAAGACTTTTCTTTTCCGCGGAAAAAGGAAAGACCATATGGATAGATTTTGATCGAATAAGTTTCCCGCTTAGTTCGCGAGTTTAACGAATTAAGATGCGATACGAATCGAAAGTTAGGTGGGTTTTAAGAATACTAATGAAATCGCAAGCTGCGAATCGACCATGGAATCAAAACTGCGTTGTATACTTTTCATCCCACAAGCTCCGCATTCGCCAAATGTACAGAAGGAAAAAAGCCAGTGCAGTATTTCGGCTTGAAGAGAATTTCGTCCGCGACACGACAGAACGATACACTTTAAGACAAGTTCAATTGTACAAAGTTCGGCCTTCAAAATGGGTCGAAGGGGCTAAACAGAGAAGGTTTTCTTTGTTGACACCAAACACAATAAAGTAAAACTCCCTCCATCGGAATCGTAGGCTACGGTTAACAGTTGTAATAGATTCTCTCTCGAATTTTTCACCTTCTTTGGCGAAAGATTCCACGCGTTTTGGAAGGACTTAGTTTAAAGCCCATTTCACCAGGGTATGGTTGATGAGTTGATATGTTAGACTTGAAAAAAAGAAAACTGAATAAACGTTAATTAAAACATTGAAGCAAAATAATGAATATTCTTAATAGAACAAAAATTCCAATATGGTTTGAAATTATGCATTTCTAACATCACAGTTTAAAGCTTATGGATTCCGAAACTTCGCGGTTCTAAATTCCTTTTTGGTTTAAAAAGTTTTCTTTAAAGAAAATCATTTCCAAGAGACCGGAAAATAATGGAGAAGTTTAAAGCACGTGCATAAATTCTCTCACACGGGGTGTGAAAACAAAGCTGTAGGATTTTTACTAAATGGATTCTGTAGACACCAAAAATCGCTTTTAAGTATCTCCCTTATTGATGCGACAGAATATGGATGATGGGTCAGGAAATTTATGTTTTGAGTAAACAAATAAAAAAGACAGTCTTGCTGTAAGCACAGGATTTCCAATAAAAACATTTCGGCTCATCTGTATCCGATCTTCATTTTAATGTTACTGCGTTTGACTGGGACAGTGAGTCGCATTGTTGAATACTTGTGTGAAAGTAACAGTCGCATAGATACAACGTGTGGTGGATTTGACTAAGAATTCCTCACTGGAATAGAAAGGTTGTCTTAACAGCGACCATGTACAACACACGGGCAAACAAAGACATCGGCCTCGAGTTTTGCATTGCAGTGAATTAAAATGAGTGAGCGAATCTTCGCTTTTGACAAATATTGCTTTTCAATGACGGCAGTACATAGCCATCTGTTTTTAAACTGTCCGAACTTTCTGAAAGAGCAATTCAATATTCAAATTCTGCTCAGATAAAGCCCCTTAAGGCGGCTATGCGAGTGCCGTGAAATGAAAGAAGAAAAATAAACACTTGTGATCATGTAAAGATGATCGCAAAAATACGATCTTCGACCTAAAAATGCGATCGTGCTCTTCGACTAACGCGTTTTTCCTCCTAAAGCTTAAATTTGATCAAACTGACAAGCGATCTTTTCGCGGAAAACTCTTCGCTAAAGAGGATACATCAATCAAGGGGACTAGGAGACACAAGTCATCGGCAATTTTATTAGATTCCATTCTTTGATTTTATCTTTGACTCAATGAGATTCTTCAACGAGGTGATTACCGTATGTCAGCGACTTTATCTACGAAATTAGAAGGCGCGCGCTTCATATAGATGAGGAGTTCTCAATACCTTCAACCGCGGAAATCTACCATAAAAACTTGAAGTGAGCAACAAAAGGCGGTTTAATATTTTCTTTCGTTTACTGAATAGGAACGTTTCATCAAAGAATCCGCTAACTTTCTACACAATATTAATATCAGTAAAGTGGGAAATTTTCCACGGAGCAGCTGCGCGCTTCTCAAACAACAAACACAACTTGCCTTGCATAACAGCGCGCGTTAGTCAACTAACAAATTGGACATAAAAAATTATACAGATTTGAACTACTTATAACTTTAAACTGTCTTTCGCAAATTTACAGCATGTGAAAGAATTCGTCTGAATATACCTTAATTCCCTTGCATAAAAATTTGTACAATACATTTTAAATTTATAAGGTTTTACCCTATCACATTGTCCTCGCGTCTTTGTAAATAGAATACTTTTTACAATTTTCATACAACAAATATACATTGTGGCATTTTTTTCTGTCTCTTATTTCAGGAAAAAAAGTTCAGCCTTGTCTAACTGGGACTTGCAGGACTATAACTTGACGATTTTCGGGTGGATGACATTTGTTAATGTGGCGAGTCAAACCAGGCGAGCTATAAAATGTACTAGAGCAATGTTTACAAGAGTAAATTTCACCTGTGTGGATTCTTGCGTGTCGATCAAGGCTTCCCTTATTGGCAAAACCATTACCGCACACGTTACAAATAAATGTCTTAGGTCCCACGGCGTGGTTAAGAACGTGTTTAGCGCGGTTTGTCAGGCTGCGGAAAACTTTTCCACAGTACTGGCACGGATAAGGGCGATCATCGTTGTGGTTGTTCATATGTTTTCTCAGATAGGCCTTGCGCCTGAATGTTTTGTTGCATACTTCGCACACAAATTGTCCCTGGCTGTTACCTACAGGGCTGGTGGCTCGTAACTCGGATTCCGCTGCTGTGGTGCCGACTTTGCTCTCTTCGGCGCCAACTTTCGGGCTGCTCGATACTTGATCGCGCGTAGATGGCGATTGGGTCGGAGCTGGCTTTTTCTCGTGCGGCGAACGAGGTCGGTGCCATCGGCGGTGCGAAGCCAGGTTGGCAGGGCAGCTGAAAACCTTGTCGCACTCGGGGCATCGATATTCAGTGTGCTGAATTCCACTACACCTGTGTTGGGCTAGCGAAAATGGATCTGTATAAACCTCCTGACAAAGTTGGCAGATAAATTGAGACTGAGGCAGTGGACCTTTGGTCTTGGGAAAGTCGAACTTATCTTGGCAAATGGCAAACTCCTTGTGTTCGAGAACTGCGGTTTTACCACCATGATCCGTGTGTTTTTCGTTAAGCGCTTCGCGTCCGTTTGAACTGCTGTCTTTATTCTTACTCGGCTTGTCACGGCTCTCGATCGACGTCGGGTTAGGCTTGAATTTCTTGGCTGGGGAATTTTCCTTTTCTTTTTCCAATTTAAAAGGTTTAAAGGCGCTTGATGTGATGTTGTTGTTAGGCGCTGAGGTGAGCAGCGCACTTAACGAGGTTAACACCGGTGGTTTATCCTTCTTCGGCGATGAATGCATAATTTCTGAAACCGCAGACGTAGTGGAAAACACATCACTCTTGCCCGCGCGATATTCTGGAGCTGCATCGTACTCAAAATGCCTCTTTTCCACCGATCCAGCTCCGCCGCTATGCAGCCTCTTGTTCTTCTTCACAAGGAATGCTTTAGGCATGATCTTCTCCTTTTGTCTCTTAACCACTACCAGTTGCACTTCGAAAATATTTTTTTCTAGGTCAACCAGGAACCTCGCTCGAACAAGAAAAATAATAACAGTCACGAGCGTGAATATTTCACACCGTTATCAAAGTGCCCTCGCTGTTTATGCCTCTTTAGATTGTACGCTGCTGGATTTGAGCGTCGAAATTTCTTCAGTCAGGTTTACTCGCGAGATGTCTACGCTATCCGTTGGAAGCTGAAATGTTCTTGAGATCGGAAACGCAAATGTTTTAATTGTGTCTCCTGAGCGGCAGCTGTGCGCGCGCGTATACGGTGGTTGTTAAGAGGTCTTAGAATGTCCATTGAAATGTCACACGCGAGAGGCCCTCCCTTTGTTAAATATACTTTTTGTTGTCATTCCCCACACGTGTTAGCCATTGTTTCTATGGCGGGTGCGTAGCCTTATTAACATTTCATTAAAACCCGAGGGTGTGTCGCTGTCTCTGAGCTGCCCAAGAGAGAGCAACGGTTTCAGATTTTTGCCGACGCTGCTTAAGACCACGAGAAAAATCCGCCCAGCACACGCGGATATTGAATTGGCCTATTTGCTCATAAAATCGCTAATATTTTCGCAAAACAACCACAAAATAATGCCTTATGCAAATCGAAGTGTTTATGCATAAACAACAGTTTCCGGCAGAAACGGAACGCACTGTCTAATTACGCAGTAATTTGAAACACGTGGCGATGATTGACAGCTGTCCCAAGACGAAGGCTTTTCATTGGCTTCTCTGCAGTTAGGACAGACCGTTTCATTGGTAGGACCTTGAATGGTTCATGCCAGAACACGATTTACATTTTATTATTATTTCAAACAGCAAGAATTTGGACTCTTTACATGATCAAGTCAAAGAAAGTAAAATCGAATGCCGGAACTAGCCATAAATAGTCTAAAGCAGTTTGTATAAATAAGAGCAAAAGGAAACATCGCGAAAATAAAATATCCTCCATGAAAGCCATTTTCGTTGAATTAGTACCCTAAGATGCCGTAAAAATTCACTAAAGTTCCATAAAGACCGACTTTAGCGATGAAGAAATTTTTCTACCGCGACAGATGTTTTAGGCCACCAAATGATTTTCAATAGATTAGGAATTTTACGAACATAATTCCAGGCTCACCAAAATGAAGATAATATTCTACATTAGTTAACTTTCAGGTCCCTTCAAGAAACAGTGTAAGCCGTTATTAATTTATTTTCCAGACTATGCGAACAAGAATGGCCTTCTCAAACTAGCCAAATTGCATTACTCAGATACTTTCATCTATTAAAAGGGAGAATTCAAAAGCTGTGAAAAATATTCGAACGCGGTTATTGAAGAAAAAGTCTCTTTTTCGGAGAATAGATGTGTTATCGTCGCCAGATGCCGTAAAAAGAGCAAAATATTTCGAAATAAATTGTAATAAGTGAACTTGGACATTAAAACCACACGAGCAGCTGTGTTGTCTTTTTTTTCTGCTTTTAATTTCCTCCCGCGCTGAAAAAAATTTAGTCCTTCATTTTCGGCTTTTTCAACGATTCATATCTACTGATCGCCAAGTTATTTTTTATATCGGAAAAGTCTTAGCTAAGTAGAAAGTAAATTTTCTTGAACTTAAAGATTTGATGGTTTAGTTTCCAGGGTGAATTATTGACCTCTGCCGAATTCGCTGAATTTTTCTCATTCAACTCAAGGTGTTCCCCGGAGAAATAACTCAGGGTTCCTTTTAAACAGAAAGTAAACATCCTTCGCAAGCATTGTATATCACCAAGGCATCGCAATTAAACCTATTGACAAACTGTCTTCGCAGCTTTTTCAATCTTCAATTCCATCGGCTCGAAGCGCGGATGTAAGCACACGGGAGCACTCAAGATTGGCCAAACGATCTAAAAGGACTTCTAAAGGAATTGTCTGTGGTTCATTACCGTCGCTCTGACTACCCACCTCCCAAAAATTTTATTTTGGGTTTTATGTTTTAACAAGGACAAAAGAAAAAGCTTTGGTTCTAGAAGGCGTTACTTGCTTTAAGGCATGCACGTTTGTACAAATCCAACATTTGCCCTCAGTAAAAAACTGTCAGAAAATATTCACACTATATATAACAAAGCACTCGATCTTAAAGAATACATTTTCATGGTCACGTTCGCATTGCGCGGGCGAGTTTCTTTGGAACTTTTTAGACAAGGAAAGGACATCGTACTACAGAGACGTGAAAAATAAATAATTTGGGTGAACTCACTCGAACGAGGATTAAGGATAGGAGTCGATGGATAATTACAAAAACACAGCCTTCGCCGGAGCAGGTGTAATCTTGAATAAATGAATACTATCTTCGCAGAGTATAATTAGAGAATTTATTGTACATTTCTCAAGACACTTTGCCGTGAATTTACATATGTATGGGAATCATCTGTGAGTTTGATCGCCTCTCTCACGGCTCAAATCAAACGATAATAGAGCAATTTCATGGCGACTTGACGGCAGGCCACAAGATCAATGAATCAGCCTGGGCGTTGTATAATAATTACTTAAAGTTTGTTCGCAGAGTTACCTGACTTAATCGCTCAAAACACTGATGAATGTGTTTTGTGATCTTAAATGAACAAAAGGGCCAAGTGTAAATAGAAAAAAGAACGTAGCGATCGGAAATCTGTTGGCGCAAAAGCGACAAAACTTCAAGAATGTGTGTTTTGAATAACGCCGCAGGAAAGAAGACCAGAAATTTAAAAGCAATCTTTCGCGCGCCTCCTAGACGTTAATTCCCCCTTCGGGCCTTGTTTAATTTTTCCATATGATTGACTTCGTTCAGAGTTTTAATAAAGTATTTTAGGAATAAAACTAAAATGCTCTATTTTAAAAAACCAATTTCAGCTGAGAAGTAATAAAACGAGTGGAAAATTCCCTTCGTTTGGAATTAAAACATTGCTTACCTTTTACAATCAAATGATTTATATGTTTGTTCCAGGGATGATTAAGAAAATTTATTACCACTGGAAAAATAATTATCTAAGGCACTTTGTTGAGTAAATTTTTGAATTTGTAGAAATTGCTTTAAGCATGATATCACGAAGAATTCGTTAGCGCCGGGCTCGTGGGTGTCGAATTTGCGTGCGAAATATTTGGTACAATACAATCCTAAAGAATTCAGTCGAGAAATGGAATTGGTCATCTGAGTCCTGTTAATTGAGTTTTTCTACAACGCTTACAAACGAAGCAAGGTTTTGTTATTCTAATCAACAGCGCGAACGCTTTCAAAAGAAGCTCAGCTCTAAACAGCTGTTTGCATTTGCATTTTAACAAATGAAACTCGACACAATTCGGGCAAAAAAAGGCATGGTGGAGAAAGAGGAAAAAAGACAGGGTATTGCTAAACGCCTTAAATGCACCTATAGCAACGCCCGCTTACATCGCGAAAGTTTTAGATGTGAAAAGAGACAATATTAAAAACTTTAATTTAGCCTCCCTGCTGAATTTTTTACTACTGAAAGCCAAAAAGGCAGCCTCCAGAATTTTGTGCGTGATATAATTAATCGCCGAAAATTAGGAAAGGAGATAGACATCCGGACTTATCACGAATTGATCGTTCTCTAGCATGCAGCGTCATAAAAGCTATTCCAGGAGTGGGGGAAATGCCAATCAATAATTTTCGAGTCAAATGTAATGAAATTAAAAATATCGAAATGGTGTCCTGCTTTCAAAGAAAGACGAGAAAACATCCGCAATTGGCTCGCCCGTGCATCGCGATGAGTACTAACTAAAAGGCTTTAGACTACTCGTGCAATATATTTTGTTTTGTTCACCGAGTGATATTATGGAGTCCAGACCGGTAACCGCATCACTTAGCGGACTAAGGAGTAAATACTTTTAAAGGAAATCGCAATGGATGTGGAGACACGCGACCGTGCCACGCGACAGAACACATGACGCACGACTTGTTCTATTCAACTGGCATTGAACTTCAAAAGACTGCTTGATGCTGGGCGGGACTGTTATAAAAAAGGCAACCATTAAAACACCTTTTGTATGTTTCAATTAGTCGTCTCTCAACAAAAAAAGCGAAAAATGGTTGGGTATGAAAATGAATATATTGTTTTGAGCAGTTTTATTCAAAAAAGTTCTATTTTACTCCGAGCTTGTGCCTAGGCATTAACAACTTTCGGCACGGCTATGAATTGTCATTCGAGTGAATAAGTGTTTTACAGAATTTAAGTATAAAGATACTGCTTCCGACGAATTTTTTATTCTGCAATCATAAATTCGATTTACTGAGCGACAGAGCGGCATATATTTACTTTAGATAACAAACTTTCTATGTCTTTTCCCCGCCAATGATATGATTCCACATGTCAAAGAGCCTTTCCTGACAGAAATAATTGCGCGTCTCATCAACTTTTGTTGATTGCCGTGGTTTTATTTGGAGAAAATTCTAGCTGTCGAATACTTTGGCAAATGACAATTTATGATAAATACTTGCGCACTTTTGGCCTCTAACGAGTTTTTAGATTGATTCAATACCAGGCAGTTTAACTTGTTCGGCAAAACAGCTGCCGCGATTATATACAACGTGCTTGTAACAGTTCTCAATTTGTTGTTTTCGCTTTTTCCCTTTTATTGTGTGCCTCGCTAATTCTCTCAGCAGTAACTCGTGTTCTTGTTAATTGAGAACTTCATAATTTTTTAATGTGTTCGGTCCGCAATAAACCTTTTAGAGCTTCCTTTTAGAATTATAAGCAAAAACTGTTCCATCACCCCTCCTGCCTGTAAACCGACCAATACCTGGTAACATTCTCCTCGAGAGTTGATTTATTCAAGATTTGTCTCTACTCTCCCCCGCGTTTTCGCCAAAACATATCCATTTACATTTAATCTTACCCAAGTTGAGTAATGTTTTTTTTTTCTTTTTTTCCAGTAAAACTTACTCCAATGAAACCGCTTTTTAAACGGAGTTTAATTTTCCATTCTAGTCAGCGTTCTTTT